GCGGGGTTGGCCGGGGGGATGGTGGGCATCGGGGGCATCCAGAGCGAGAAGGAGACTATGCAATGCCTGAATGACCGCCTGGCCTCCTACCTGGAGAGGGTTAGAAGCCTGGAGGCTGATAATCGGAGGCTGGAGATCAAAATCCGGGAACACCTGGAGAAGAAGGGACCCCAGGTCAGAGACTGGGGTCATTATTTCAAGACCATCGAGGACCTGAGGGCTCAGGTAAGGGGGCATGGAGGGAGCAGCCCAACTCCCAGCCATGTTTGTCGCCCCACTCAGTACCTGTACTTCCTGCTGGTCTCCCAAGGATAGGAATTTTAATCCCCCCTTTTTATTTCCACCCCACCTCCTATTGTCCAGGAAGGGTGTTAGGAATGCCCTGGATTTCCATACATACCTCTAGCCACAGGGAGCCCAAGGGTGGTCATTGCATGGGTGGGTCCTTTCCCTGGAGATTGTGGGAACGGGAGGCCAGAGTTTGGGAAGTGGACAGCATGGAGGGAGGTGAGACAAGGCCCACATGGAGGACTCAGGCACTGTTTTCTGGCCAAGTGGGGACAGTTGGAGGGTTAAGCGGATGTGGTTAAGGCTGAGTCATCTTAAGAGTAAACTGGAGGCCTACCTGAGGGTGGGGTGGGGTAGGGTGGGGGTGGAGGGGTAACAGGTGCACTAAAGGGAAAAATGCCAGGAGAGGGCCAGGGAGAGGACTTGCATAGTAGCTGCTCACTTCAAGCAGCCAGCCATCAGAGGCCCGGAAGGAGGGGTAAGCAGGAGACTGGTGGGAGCCCTGGAACTTGAGACTTCAGGAGAGGAGGGAAGAGTGTGAGGGGCACAGGTGGAAGGGGATAGCCTCTGGCTATTCCTGGGACCAGGAAGTTTTTACTGAGACGTATAGCACACTCATCCCATCATTGACTTCTCATTCACGGAGCAATATCTCTCACCAATCCTCAGATCTTTGCAAATTCTGTGGACAACGCGCGTATTGTTCTACAGATTGACAATGCCCGTCTTGCTGCTGATGACTTCAGAGTCAAGTAAGGCTGGGGGACTAAAAGCTAGGGGTGACGCGAAGAATGTTTTGCTTCCTGAGCTGGGTCAGCTAGGGGCTCGCAATGGGATCTTGTTCAACTGTGGTTGGAGCTGGATGGATGGGAGTTAGACTCCATCAATTTATTCATTCATGTAACCTAGTCTGGGAACACTGTCCCCCCACATACCAGAAATGGCGCTCAGAATTACCATCTGATTCCTGACTTAGTTTCTGGTTTGCAGTGAGCATGATGCTGCTCTTAGGAGGTGGCAGGGGTTGAGAAGTTTATGGATCTGATCACCTCCACTCCCACAGGTATGAGACGGAGCTGGCCATGCGCCAGTCTGTGGAGAATGACATCAGTGGGCTCCGGAAGGTCATTGATGACACCAATATCACTCGGCTGCAGCTGGAGACAGAGATCGAGGCTCTCAAGGAGGAGCTGATCTTCATGAAGAAGAACCACGAGGAGGCAAGCAGGGGCCACTGGCCAGGCCAGGAACCAGGGGCCAGGACAAGCCTGGGGGCATGATGGGGCAGGCTTACCTGCAAGTAGCATTGCAGGGATGTTTAGAACAACCAGCCTGGGCTCTTCTTGATCAGACTGTTGCAACTGTTGCCATACTCAGTGGGTCACCTGAGTTACAACATGATGAGGTCAAGAGGCCATGGGTGAGAGAACGAGACAAAGACAAAGATAGAAGCAGCCAGCACCAGGAGCGAGGGCAATGGAGGAGCGAGAGCAGGCGGGGTTGGCAGGGCTTCCCGGAAGAAAGTGTAAGTAAGGAGCAGGTTTGTGGAAGGCGGGTAGATGGAGGGGCAGGGTGAAGTGAGGAGAGAGAAAGCACTGTGAGTGACAGGTATGGGCAGTGAGGGGGTGCATTTTACACAGCCAGAGTAGAAAGGCAGGAGTGCAAAGCTGAGAGTTTCCTCTGTTCTCCAACTGATCCTGTAGGCCTGGAAGAGGCAGTCACAGCTGAAGGGCCTCACTAGAGCTCAACCCTGAGCCCCTCCTCACTTTTTTCCTCCCTGTCTTTAGGAAGTAAATGGTCTACAAAACCAGATTGCCAACTCTGGTTTGACTGTGGAGTTGGATGCGCCCAAATCTCAGGACCTCAGCAAGATCATGGCAGACATCCGAGCACAGTATGACGAGCTGGCTCGGAAGAATCGAGAGGAGCTAGACAAGTACTGGTCCCACCAGGTACAAGAGGGAAAGAGATGGATGCCGGCTGGGCACAGAGACCCAAGGGTGGGAGGGAAGCAGGCAGGGAAGGAAGAACCTAAGGATCATGCCCACCCTGCAGATTGAGGAGAGCACCACAGTGGTCAGCTCGCAGACTGCTGAGATAGGAGCTGCTGAGATGACACTCACAGAGCTAAGGCGTACGGTCCAGTCCTTGGAGATTGACCTGGACTCGATGAGAAATCTGGTAAGAGCCCTCCCTTCACCTGCCCCAACTCCTCCTAACCCCTGACCTCTGTCTGCCTCAGACCCATCCTGTCTTAGCCCATATCCTACCCCTTCCATCATGAATTCCTTTTGCTCAGAAAGAGTTGTTACTCCCTGCATCTCCCACTGCTCCTACCCTAGCACCTGCACAAAGTGGTGCTCAAAAAACTTGCAGAATGAAGTCTTGAGTTCTGAACTGCTCTGAGGAAAGTTGTAGACTCTCCCTCCACTGGATCTCAAGGCTCACCCAACCCTTTTCCCTGTGGCCCCCGCAGAAGGCCAGTTTGGAGAACAGCCTGAGGGAGGTGGAGACGCGCTATACCATGCAGATGGAACAGCTCAACGGGATCCTGCTACACCTGGAGTCAGAGCTGGCCCAGACTCGGGCAGAGGGGCAGCGCCAGACCCAGGAGTACGAGACCCTGCTGAACATCAAGGTCAAGCTGGAGGCTGAGATCGCCACCTACCGCCGCCTGCTGGAAGAAGGGGAGGACTTCAAGTAAGTGGGGCTCTCCCACCCACACAAGCCAGGGTCAATATGTCACTTATTCCAAAATCTTGAGCTTTTGAAAGCCCCACTGAGCACTGAGCTGGTGCTCTGTGAGTGCCCCTATGTCTGCAAGGAAGTAACAGTTACGGAGGTTCCCGCCTGGAGAAGAGAATGCACTAAGTATTGCCCCTAGCCATACTTGGCGCACAAATGGAATTTGACCTTGGGTTTCCCTGAAAGGAGGAAGTAACAAAGGGGAATTTGGAGATAAGGCACAGGGGTAGGAGGCTTTTTTTCTTCCATTTTCCTAGTCTCCCTTTTCTGTGGGGCTGTTTACAACAGAGATTTGGTCTTCTGTTACAGTCTTGGTGATGCCCTGGACAGCAGCCACTCCATGCAATCCATCCAAACAACTACCACTCGCAGGATTGTGGACGGCAAAGTAGTGTCTGAGGTCAACGACACCAAAGTTATAAAACGTTAAAGGCAGCAGAAGTGGGGCCCCCCTTGGGGTGGGGTCAGGAAGCCAATAAAATGTTCAGAGGTCACTGAACTTTACTTTGTGTCTTCCTTGGCTGTTTTCATTCTGTGTGCAAATCCCCTTACCCAATAGCCCTATCTATGATGAGGCAGGAATCACCTCTGACCCCAGGGGTCTTATTTAGGTGGGGGAGTGGGCAGAGGAAGGGTCTGGGTTTTTGGAAACACCTTCTCAGGAAGAGGAGAGAATGGGCCAAGGGCTGTGGGGAAACTACAATAGAATTGTGAAATCTTAACCTTGAAGAGACCTGGTGATCTTAACACCCCTGCCTGTTAGGTGCTCCTTAGCAGAAATCAGCCAGAGAAGGAAGCCAAGGACAAAGAGCAAAGGAAAGAGAAAGGCAGGACCAGAGGACACAGCTGGCTCTCCCCACCCTTCCCTTTCTGCATCCTGGACCCCTGCCCAGTGCTTCCCACCCATAGCTTTTCCACCTACCCCTCCTACATTCACCCCCCAAACCTATGGTCCCCTATGCTCTGCTCCTTCACTCAACTGGGATATGACTTTTAGTGCAGTAGAGGTCTGGCTAGAACTGGAGTAAATGCAATCATTGCAGGTGAAAGAATATTCCAGTGGCCCCCATCTAGATAGGTAGTGCCCCTAAGTAAGCACCCACTTAGGTAACAAAAAGCAACTTAAAGCTAACTGAAATGTCACAACTCTGCTTTTCATTGGAAGTGTCATCTAGTAGTGAAAACAATGGATGTCTAAAACTAATCACATGCTTTGATTGGGATGATAGTTTACCTTTGAAAATTAACATATTTTATATAAAAGTAACACACCAAATCCAGGAGGAAATAAGATTAAATATTTCCCATCCCATTCCCCAGAGGGAACCACTGTAAAATAGTTTCTTAAACTGTACATATACAAACACATTTTATTTTATACTTGTGGGATCACACTGTTCTACACCTTGATTTCTCAAACTGCCTTCATTTCACAATATGTCTTGGACACCTTTCTGAAACAGTATGTGTAGACCTACCTTTTTTTTTAACCCAGATGATTACATTTGAAGTCTCTGCTACCTTCATTTGGAATCTATAATATGCATATTCCATTTACCAAAAGGAAATTAGTCTAATATGGAGGAAGCACAGAATTGCAGTGATTATGCATTCTGTCACTTCCTGTTTTGGTGATGTTTTTGATTACTTTTTTCCTACCCATTGTCAGGTTGAATGTTTATTATCACACAAATCTACTCTCAAACTGCAATAAAGAATAAGTACTATGTTCCAAATTCTTTCCAGAAGTCAGAACCTTGATTAATTGATGTCCAATCACAGTTACCGGACCAATTTGACAAGTGATATCTAGGCCTTTCTTGATCCTTGCCTTAGTAATTTGTCATCCATCTAGTTTGAGAGACAGCATGCACAATATGACATTTTACATAAAACTTCTAATGGCATCTGTATAGGAATGATGTTGGGGTCATTATTTTAGAAGGACCCTCAGAATAAATTTCAATAAATTTCTCAAAGTAAATTTGGTGGGGAAAGGAGGATTATATTTAATCTCCTGTAAATCATACACCTATTTTATTTTATTTTATTTTATTTTATTTTATTTTATTGCTGCCTAGTACTTAAATGTGTGGAGTACAAATGTGCTTAACCCAGGTCTTCTAGTGATGGATATCTTGGTCTTCAGTAGTTTTAGTTTTTGCAAAAAAGCTGCAATTAATGTTAATCAACATGCAATTTATATTTGTGATTAATAGGTATGCTATATGAGAATATAGGATAAATTCTTAGAGATGGCACGCTGGCCTACCATAGTAACAAATATTTATGCAGTACCTACTTTGTGCCAGGCCCTGTGCTAGACCTTGAGTATGTATGTGGTAAACAAAGTGGGTATTGTCCCGACCTCATGGAGCTCATACCCTAATGGTCAAACATATGTGCATTTTTATTCAGTCTTTCAACAAATACCCGCTGAGGACCTACTATGTACCAGCCACTCTTCTAGGCACTAGGGATACATCAGTGAACAAAGCAGACAAAATCCCTCTACTCATGAAGCTTGTATTCTGGTGACAGGAGACAGATAATAAACAATAAGCTACAGCGTGCTGGCAGGTGATCAGTGTTACAGGCCTGGACGGAGCAGGCAAAGAGGGTTGTAGTGGGGAGAGGAAGGAAAGTAAAAAAGGGGGTGCATGATGATCCAAGGTAATGAATCTTTGACTAAAATGGAAAACTGTGTTTTTACTAAGAAATATAGTGTGTTTACTCTGCAGTCTCTAACAATATGGGGGTCCCTGGTGGAAAAAAGCTGAAAACTATTCAAGGCCCAGAGGACAACACTAGGACAGGCAGCCCCTGTGGGTGGTGGAGAAGTCCCCAGAGGGACAGGTGGAAATCTTTTCACTGTAGGGCCCTGAGAGAAGGGGAGGAGAGCCTACAAAGTGGACAGAGCAAGGGCTGCTCTAGCTGATCTGGGAGCTTCTACGGACAGGGACCCCTGTGGCCTCTGAGTACCTGGGTTCTACTACCTGGAGGAGAGCATTCTACCTGAAAGCAAGGTGCCCTGCTGAAGTGTTGCTCACCCTTCTGAAAACATAACAATCACCTGCCTCACTTGCTTCTGTTCTCTCTCCAACCCCTACTTTTTCCACCCCAAACTTCAATCTTTGCAGAAATCTACAGGAGGTGAGTCTCTGGGGAAGATGGTTGAGCTTTACTCTCTGAGATCTGTTTTAGGAAAGCATCCAGAGCAGTTTTCCTGCCCTGTCCGCCCCTCTGTTTTCTGAATGTGTAAGTATAATACAGAATGTGCTTGCTCAGACACACAGATGCCCCAGAGGTCTGATGAACGCCCCCAAAGGGTTGCACCAGCCTGGGTGGCCATCACTCTAATTTAGTCAGGGGAATTCAGCCTTCCTTAGGGCCCCTAAAAAGGAGAAATTGATGGGTCAGCCACCAGATGTGGGACAGGGAGCAGACAGGCCCAAGAACAGACTGACCCCAGCAAGGGTGATGGATGGGATGGGGACCTGCCTAAGAGTGAAGCAGAAAGTCCCTGGCAGAGCCTGAGCAGGACTTGCAGCTGAGTCAGGCTGATTGGAGTAACCCGAGATGTAGCACCTGACATGACTATCCCTCCATCAGACAATATCCCGCAATTCCCAGGGCACTTAAGCATTCGATCCTCATTACAATCCCGTGAGGTATGCAAGGCAGTGGGTATTACGGGCTTTGTCTCTGAGGTAGGCCCTGAGATTCACGGAGATCATGTGACTTGTCTGAGGCCACTGTGCTAAGAGCTTAAAGCAGGAAGCCACATCCCCCGATTCCCAGTCCCACGCCCTGTCCTCCATATATTATAGCTTAACCCAGGGGTTCTCAGCCCCGGCTGCAATTCAAGTCACCAGACAAGTTTTACAAACAATACCAAGGCCCACTCCCCATCTCCAGAGACTCTGATTGAATTGTCCTGGGGGAGGGGCGGCAGACTCCGAGCAAATGCTGAAAGAGCTCCCTGCGGGGTTCCCACAGGCAGGCAAGGCTGAGAGTCATCCAAGCTGCGCCTCCAGTCAGCACACCTGCCCTCCCGATGCAGGCCACCGAGGGGCCTGTTTTAAAGAGCACACTGTTTGATGCCTTTGGGGCAACCTTCCTCATCCCTGTGAGAAGATGACTTTGGGAGGGGTGGCCCATTTAGTCCCCCAAGTGCCAAAGGGGAAAATTAGCAATTCCAAGAATATAGTATGGAATTATCTGTCCCATTTCACTCATCCTCTCTGTAGGTGCAATCCAAGCCAGATACTAAACTAATAAATGGTACTGGAAGGGGCAGAATGGCAGGTATCGTATACTGTGATTTGTTTTTTTTTAAAAAAGGCAAAAACAGCCCGGCCGGGTGTCACTCAGCTGTTGAGCATCGATCTAGGATCCAGGAGATAGAGGTTCGATTCCCAGTCAGGCCACATGCCCAGGTTGCAGGCTTGATCCCCAGCAGGAGGCAGCCGATCAATGACTCTCATCATTGATGTTTCTATCTCTCTCTCCCTCTCCCTTCCTCTCTCTGAAATCAATAAAGACATATTTTAAAAATAAAATAAAAGGCAAAAACAACAACTATATATATATGTGTATGTATATATATGTGTGTGTGTATACACACACACACACACATATATATCCAGATAATATTCNGTGTATGTATATATATGTGTGTGTGTGTGTATACACACACACACACACATATATATCCAGATAATATTCATATGTATATATCCTTGTATATGTAAAGATCTCTGGAAAGATATTCAAGAAACTGGAAATAATGATTGTCTCTGAAGAAGAAACTGGTGTAGGAGAAATCAAGGTGGGAGGAAGACATACTTTCCCTTGCATATCCTTTGCACCTTTTGAATCATATAATGCTAATTCAAATACAAAACAAATTTTTTTGGTTAACTTTTATAATGGCATAGGAACCTACAGCCCCCAGGGAAGGAAGTGTTGCACCCATCTTTGTTTCTGTCTCATCCCATTCATTCAACAAATATTTATTGAGCACCTACTATGTGCCAAGAACTGTTCTAGGGGCTGGTGATACAGGGGTAAACAAAACAGACAATCCTTACTCTTGTGGGGCTTACATTCTAGCAGAGGGAGACAGATAATAAATTATAAGTGTAATGAGTAAATTATATAATTGTTAGAAGCAATATTATGGGGAAAAAATAGAACAGGATATGGGGAATCAGGGGTTGGGGGATGTATTAGTTTCCCATTATTGCTGTAACAAATAACCATAAACTCAGTGACTTAAAACAACACACATTTGCTATCCTACAGTTTGTGAGGTCCGAAGTCCTAAAATCAGTGCAGGGGCAGGGCTGTGTGCATTCCAGGAGCTCTAGGAAAGAATCTATTTTCCTTGCCTTTTCCAACTTCTAGAGGCCACCTGCATTCCTTGAGTTCTGCTCCACCTGTTATCTTCAGAGTCAACTGCATTACCTCTTTAAATCTCTTTCTCTGGAATCTGCTTCCAT